ATTTAAATCTAGTCCATCAAAATATAATGATCACATGGGTTAACATATGGTTACAATAAATTGTATAAGGATAGCAATAGCACTTAGACTTATATATCACTCCATAGTGTTTTATAGGACTCTCTGAGTGGTTTACAAATATCAGCATATTGCCCTCAACAATTGGGATACTCATTTTACTGACCTCAGAAGGATAGAAGGCCAAGTCAACCTTGAGCAGGTCAGAATTGAACTCCTGGCAATGAGCAGTGAGTTAGCCTGCAATACTGCATTCTAACCATTGAACAACCACAGCTCCTCTCTAATGGTAGTGGTAGTGATGCTTGTGAAAAGTTCTTAGAACAGTATTTCACTGCAAGCTATAAGTTAGTCAGCAGAGAAATGCAGTTTAAGGTTGTACTGACCAAAAATATAATTTCTAAAATACAAGGAGTAAATGTTTTACTTTATTCAGTATTGGTCTGAATCTCCCTTAAGTACCAGGTTGGGGATACCACACTTTGAGGAGAATTCAGAGAAATAGCAAAAAGTAATAGGGGTGATCAAGGGATTGAAAATAAATTCCTTTGGGGGGGGGGACAAACTGAAGAACTTCAGTATGTTTGACCTTGAGAAAAGATGATAGAGAAGAAATATGAGATCACTCTTCAAATATTTTCAGGGATGTCACCTACTCTTTCTTGTTCCAGACTTTTGACACTGGAATAGTAATTTCAGTGACAGGAAGACAATTTCTGATTGAATGTATGGAGAAAAGAAAAACCTTCCTAACTGTAATGATAGTTTAATAGTGCAACCAATTAGCCAGAGAGAAGGTGGGCTCTCTTCCATTGTATATAGTCAAGTGGAAGATTGGCAAGCATCTATGTGTGATTCTTTAATTTGGTTCCCACAGTTGTTGAATTTGATGTCTTAAATGGCATTTTCCATCTATAGGATTCAGATTAGCTTGTTCAGCCAGATGCCAGTAGTCTGTTTGTTTTAGACCTGGTAACTCTCTGGTTATGTTGTTTTATATGAGATAAAAGTATTGCTACTAGACTCCTTACAAAGTTGTACTTTATCTACTGTAAGCCCTTTTCGCTCTGCAAATCACAAAATCTGGGAATCTAGTTTAATAAAGGATTAAATTGCATTGAATGGATCAACATTCATAGAGATGGTGAAGATAACTGGGAAATTATAGATCAAGCCTTTTACAACAGGCAAAACATTGTAAATATCCCTGGAAAAGCCAATATTCAATGCAGCTTATAGAACAGTGGTGGCGAACCTATGGCACGGGTGCCAGAGGCAGCACTCAGAGCCTTCTCTGGGGCACACACACCGTCGCCCAAGTCCTAGGCCTTTAGCTGGGTTTTATAAAACGTTTTCACTTTAGGCCTCCACCGCCGTGTGCAAAAAAAAAAAAAGATTCAATCAATCAGTCAATTTCAACTTCTCGGGGAAAAAAAAGATCTTGCAAAGTTGGAACTGATTGATTGAACTTTTTAGTCCCACCCATTACCACCGCAGCAACACCCACCCAGTTGGTCACACCCACCCAATTGGCCACGCCCACCCAATTGGCCACGGTCACCCGTCACCCGACGATGCATAAGTGGCTTTTGGGTTGCAGTTTGGACACTCGGTCTCTAAAAGGGTCGCCATCACTGTTATAGAATTTAGGGCATAAAAAATAATATGCTCTTTCTTCTGATATTTCACATCTGTAGCTGAAAGAAATGGTTCCTTAAGCAGACATGTTTTTCTATGCTAACTTGAATATTTTAAAATGTGTCTGATTGTTTTTAATGTGCAGTTCATGTTTACAGCAGAAGCAGATTATATCAAAGTTACTTAATCTGGCTTTCATGGAAGAATTACTTTTTTATTGCCTGATAGTGACTAATGTATATTTTTATATGCTTAAAACTTAGCTTTTTGTTGGTGTTAAGGGCTAGAGTTCCTTTTATCTTCTGTGTTGGATTAGAACATGTGCATTTTGTGAATAAATGTGCAAATACTGTCTAGCCAGCAGTTTTTTCAGCCTTCCTCCTTAAAAATTGTGATCAGTTACAGAAAGATTATTTTATCCTGAATCAGCCTTAGTTATTTCCAAGCATGATAGAAAGGCAGTGATTGTGTTTGAATAAATGCAGTCATTTTTCTCCTCTGAAGGGCATATCGGCCACCAAGGGGTTGGGGGAATGGGGAATCCTCAACCTTTGTTGAATTGCAGAGATCACCTTCTAGTAAATTTCACCTGCCTTCCAATTCATTTAATGCACTGAACCCAAATATTCTTGAAGTCAGACATTTATTTCCTGGGAAGCAAATATCTCAACAGTAAATAAATCATGTGTGGCATTTATAGCAAAAAAAGCAAAAAAAAAAAAAAAACTCTTCAAGCTGGAAATGCTTTAAAGCAAAAAACTTACTGCATTGGCATCTGATATGGCAGTGATAAAAATAAGATGGTGATTTTGGAGGGGAGATTACCAAGCAGATTAAACCTTGGTATTTATTAGACCATTGTTCTGCAACCTGTGTGTTTTCCAAATATGTGGGATTCAGGCTGTAAAATTCCCAACCCATCAAGACCATTTCCAGGAATTATAGAAATCCAAGTCTTCCCTGTCAGGGCATCTGTCTTTTGGAACACCATCCCTGAGACCCAGATGGCCCCAACTCTAATAGCTTTCAGAAATTTTCCCCCAGGCAGTGGCCAGGATTTAAGGCTCTGGATATCTAAACAGAATGTGAGATTTGTTTCCCATTCTTCTCCTGTCAATATATTGTTTTACTGCTTTGTTTTTTGTCCATGGAAATGAATGATCTAGTAAATGGGAAGTATATGGGGAAAATCCAAATACCAAAATAAATGTGGATGTTAATGATTAGTTTTACTACTTTGAACAAAAAGTATTGCAGTAGTTGAACACTTGAAATACCAAAGGATAGTTTGAATAGATCTTCGTATATGACATCTGGGCAATATTTCCAATAATCTCTTCTGAAAATACAGGCAAGAGATAATATGTAGAACTGAAAAGAGAATTCATGCAATAGTGCAGATCAGCTATTATTATTTTTAATTTATTAATCAAAATGTCAACAATGAACTATGTGTAAATATACTTTATCATCGTCAGTTTGTTTGATAAGTATGCCCAAACTCAGATGAAGTACAAAAAAAATGCTAGCACAATGTCCAAGTAAATTAAATTGGTTTTTATTTATCCTATGAGGAAAAAAAACCCCTCTGTTTGAAATATCAGTATTTGAAATATTAACTTCAGTCAATCTTGACTCCTAGCAACTGCCTGGATAATGTCCCTGTAGTTTCTTTAGAAAGATTTTTGGAAATGGTTTGCCATTGCCTTCTTCCTACAACTGAGAGAGAATATATAGCCAAAGTCAGCCAGCTGGCTTTACAGTATCTCTAAAGTAAGACTAAAATTCACAGTCTGCTTTTTATTTTGGTTTAGTGCCTTCAACCACTGTGCTATTATATCAGACTGGCTGTCTTATATAGTGTTGAGAATAGGCTTAGTGGCGATCCTGTCTATTTTTGTCATATTATGATAAAAATATCTGAATTACTAGATTATGATATCTTCTGGAAAGCTGTAATCATATAAAGCTTTAATAGAAATCAGCATAAGGTGTATTAAAATCAATTTTCTTGAAACAAGTTGTTGTGAATATGCAAACATATCCTTAGAGAAAGTAGATCTGGCAATAACAATTGTGCACAATTATTCAGATTTTTGACCGCTTTGTTTATATATTGCTTTGATTGTTCAACCTATCCAGTGGGAAGATGGAATTCTGTTCCATTTCTGGAATTCTGGAATCCCATTGGAACTACCTAGCACTAGAGTCTCCTTGGCCAATGCTATAGAAGAAGATTCAGTTTTCTCTCATGGTGTTTTTACCAAGGAAGGGTCTTTTCAGCCTTCTTGCATCTTAAAAGAATCCAAGAATTTCCAATAATTATTTTGTTGTTAATTTGATAAAATTAGAAAGCTATAATGAAATACCAACTGCTGTGTTACAAGAGCAAATCCTATTTGTAGAATAAATATTCGACCATTTTGTGTCTCTTTGCCTACCCTATGAAATAAACTGCCCAATCTCTTTTTGGTCAGGAGGGCTGGTTTCCCTCTGTCCCTTATTTGTCAGTGATCAAGTCTGCTATCCTGTTGCTTTTCTCTGGTTGAATGAAAACTAGCAAATATCTGGCATGGACACTGATGAAAATGGATTATTTTTGTCTGGAAAGGTCTAGGAAGCTTGGAATTATTCAGCAGAAATACTATGCTTGAGATCAAGGGTTCCAATATTTCTAAATCTGCAATAGAAATAAGAACTGCATAAATGTAGATCAAAGGAACATATGAAGTGGTAGCAAAATATATAACAATTTACTATTCAGAATATTATGGGTATACATATTGGCTTAGTATATTTTAATTTTTTATATATTAAATTGATATTTATAGAACTACTGTCAGTGCTTGAACAAGAGCATGAGGACAGTTGAGGTTCATTATGTCTGTTCTCTGTTTACTTTTCTTCTTTATAAAAATACATTTATATTTCTATTCCATATTTACAGTAATTGATTTGTTGCAAAGTAGGAAAAAATCTCACTAAATCTTTGAAAATTCTGAATAGCTATGTAGAAATCACATTTTTGGAATCAGCGTTATTTGAATTTTTTAATACCTGAGCTCCAGTGGTTTTCTTTTTCTTTCTTTTTTTTTCACAGCCATAAAATGTTAAAAAGGACACATTTAGAGTTCTCTTTTGTTTAGGTATCTTCAACACATGCTGGAGCGACACAGAGTAAGATATATATATAGAGAGAGGCCAGTCCTGAAATTTTGGAAAACCCAGATTGAAATTTACTTAAATTATGCTTTTATGTAAATTGCTTAAATAAGTGGAGATATAAATATTATATACAATATATGTGTATATATATATATATATATATTATTATTTTCCTCCAGGAAATGATTTGTTCCTAGTGGCAGTTCATGAACTGGGACATGCCCTTGGATTGGAGCATTCAAACGATCCGACTGCCATTATGGCTCCATTTTACCAGTATATGGAAACTGACAATTTCAAACTACCTAATGATGATTTGCAGGGAATCCAAAAGATATACGGTATGCTCTTTAAAAAAATATGCATAATGTGAGAAAGGATTATTTCTGCTGTATACAGTGAGATATCTTTGCATACATGGTCAGTGTCATGGAAAGCTGTCAATCAGTCTGTAGACTGACATGCTTATAGCTCCTTGTGTTCTATCTATTCCTGCAGTTTTCATGCCAATTGTTCAGAAACTAGTTGCCATTACTTTAAGACTAGTCTGTTTAGTTCAATCTTGTCTAATACTAGGATTTTTATGATACTTTCTCATTCAAGTAATTAACTAGGTCAAATCCTGTACAAGATAAAGTGAACGTGCAAAAAAAAAGTTTGTTTATTAAGCTCCAGTGGGTTCTTCATTTCAATAAAACTGATACCGTCTAATTCAAAGGGCGAAATGACATGGCCTCACTCTTGTGCCTCAGATTGATTGCCTTTTGGTCTGTTACTGCAGATCTAATCCTATAAAAGAATGCTGTGGGAATCCTTCTCCTGCAGCACTGGCCAGAGGGTTTTCAAATTGGGCAGCTTTGGCAAATGTTATGGAACTGCCCACAGTGACTACTGAAGATGGCCCACTTGGAGGCCCCTTAGCATTATGCCTTAGGTCTTCTAAACCTGATATGTTCGCCAAGTGCTAGAGACAACTCTATCCTTTGAATTAGACGGTATCAGTTTTATTGAAATGAAGAACCCACTGGAGCTTAATAAACAAACTTTTTTTTTTTTGCATGTTCACTTTATCTTGTACAGGATTTGACCTAGTTAATTACTTGAATGAGAAAGTATCATAAAAATCCTGAAAACTTCTCCAAACTGGTCACTGCTGATGTTCCCAGCAAGGTAGTTTCAATATGCCCAGCTTTGAAACATTTCAGCCAGCATTGGAGAAGGTTGTGATAAAAACCTTTTCCCAGAACTCTGTCCTCAGATGGGCTAAGGCCACTCCATTGCTTTGTTGAAGAATTATACTGAATCATCTCTTCACTTCTGCAAAGTACTATATATCACAAGGCTTCCACAGAATAGATTACTTTGTTGAAGAGAATGTCAATTGCTTTATACAATCGAAACTTGAAATAAGGAAGAATTTCATTACTGTGGAGCTATTAAAGAGTGGAACAACTTGCCTCTTTTGAGTTGTGGGTGCTCCATTCTAAGAGGCTTTTAAGTTGGATAGCCATCTATTTGGAATGGTGTGAGAATTTGTGCTTAGAATATTTCTCATTCATTGCTGGCTGGGGAACTCTGGGAATTGAAATCCACACAGCTTAAAGTTTCCAAGGTTGAGAAACACTAGCCTAGATGTTCAATATCCCTTCCAAACCTATGATTCTGTGTTTATCATGGGTTTATTGGTTATGTCCATTTCTCAAAAAATCTTCTCATTTTGTGTTGTGCAAATTAAATAGTTTTGCTGTTGTTACTGCTTTCTCTGGCATTATGCTACCATTCATTTTGCATTTCTTTAGTCCATTCATTTTGGGAATACTGGAGACAGAATCCCCTCCCTTTATTGGTTCAATATCTATTAATTTGCTACTGAACTTTCTTATTCCCTCCAGTATTTTCATTTCAACGTTTCTTGTCATCTTGTATCTCCTTCTAAACATCGATTTACTAAAATATGTTTGAATTGTTTCTATTCCTTCACCTTGTTTAATGGTGGAAATGCCAGATCAGCATTTTTATTGAAAAGCAGTATTTTGTTCCAAGAAATTGCCATTGAACAAGAGCATAAGGACAATTGATGATTCTATTTCTCCCATGTAGGGTTTGTGGAGTGTTTCCCATGAACTCATTAGTTGGTTTTCTAGACGGAAAACAGTCTAGACAAGCATTTTTCCTTGATACTAAATACCAGTTTCTAGCAACTGTAAGCTAAATTTTGAAGATTCTGTGGATCTTGGGAATTGGACGTGACTTTGCTAAACAAATTTTATGTGTGCATATTTTCATTTGAATTCCAAATTTTTAAATTGAATGTTGCTTACCACAAGATAATTCCTTTAATGACATGACAATGATAAAATCCAAAGTTGGCTGTCACTTTCTATTTAGAGTTTAAAGGTTGCATTTCTCAATAACTATAATTGTATTATGCAAAACTGAAATAACAACAACAACAACAACAATAATAATAGTTGGAATGAACCTTGGAGGTCTTCTAGTCCAACCCCCTGTTCAGGCAGGAAACCCTATACTATTTCAGACAAATGGTTGTCCAATCCCTTCTTAAAAACTTCTAGTTTTGGAGCATTCTCAACTTCTGGAGGCAAGTTGTTCCACTGAATAATTGTTCTAACTGCCAGAAAGTTTCTCCTTAGTTCTAGGTTGCTTCTTTTCTTGATTAATTTCCATCCATTGCTTCTTGTCCTGCCTTCAGGTGCTTTGGAGAATAGCTTGACTCCCTCTTCTTTGTGGCAACCACACAAAGAATGTCTTTAAAAGACTACATGCATACATATATATATCTTGTACACAAGCAGTGAACCTTACAGGTGCCACCAAATATTATTGACTATTATCTACATTTAGAATATCAAATATTAAGGAAACACAGCCTTTATTTGACATCATGCTATTTTTTTCTGATTTGCATGTGATACGAAGAGAGAGTCGAAAAGGAGCTTTGTTAGATCTGTCAAAGAAACTGTTCATCTACCTTTCTGTTTTTAATATGGATAGTCAAATATCACTAAAAAGGCCACATAAGAAGCAAGGAAAAGAATAAAGTTTGACCCTATGAAACTAATTTGTTATTTTCAGATAATCTACCTCTAGCGTATCTTATAAGGAAGCATATTTTTAGCAATTATTCTGACAAAAAGCACCCTAAATCATTTAAACTATTGATAATTATAATCTTAAGATAATGTGACAGCAGTATGCATGTTTAATTCATTGGCTAAAAAATAGAGATGTGCAGCTATTTGAATAAGAATCACCTTTTCTAATTTGGATCTGAACAGTTGCATTTTCCTATTAAAGAGAAAATGTTTTATTTATCTTGAATATAACAAAATTGTTGCAAGATACTGCTTGTTTAGATGCACATCTTCTGTTCTTACTAGCTCTTCTATTTGATATTTTAATTTGTAGGTCAACCTGAAATCCATTCTAATGAACTAATGCACTTTTAAAAACATTTTTAAAAAATTAATTTATAGATATGGTATAACAACATATATTTGCCCATCACTTTCATTTTTTGTATGGTTTTTTAAAATTCTACTCTAGTACTATTTTTTTTATATTTATCTGCCCCAGATGTATCTTTCTTCATTGAAGACAGTAGAAGTCATAAAGATAATTTAGTTTCTCTTAATAGAGTAATATAGAATAGCCATAGCTCAGCAATTTATAACCAATCAAAAAAAGTAGGAGTAGTGGTTAAAGTATTAGGTTAGAAATTAGAAAACTATGTTTTGGTGGTTTGTTGTAGTGGTTAAAGCATTAGGTTAGAAATTAGAAAACTATGAGTTCTGGCCCCACCTTTTGCATAAATCCAACTGGATGGCTTTGGGCAGTCACTTTCTCTCAGCCCTAGAAGGAGGGAATGGCAAACCACTTCTGAAAAACCTTTCCAAGAAAACTTCAGGGACTTGTCCAGGCAGTCTCTAAAAATTTGACATGATTGAATGGGGGGAAAAAAGTAGAATACATTTTAACAGGCATAGAGTAACCTGAGAAGAATTATGCAAACTTAATTAAATGGAATTAACTAATTAAATGGAATTAACTAATTAGTCCAAATTAGTTAAATTTCCATAATCTAGCCTTAATTTGAATAATAATTAATTCAAATCTGTCATTTCTGGTCGGGTGCATTTTTTTTAACCATAGTACATTAAAACATCTCTCTGTAACAAAGGAATCTGGACAGTTGGTTTGAAAAAGGAAGAAACCTTGGGAAGGCTATATGACTCCACCTTAACAAACTATTGAATATAATTATTTAAATTTTAAGCACAGATTAATGCTTAGTATAGTCTTCTTAGTTATTTGGTAATTACTAAGTAAATACCAAAAAAAAAAAAGAGAACACAGTTAACCTTCAAAATTGTGAAGATTCAAAATAATTTAAAAAATAATTGTTTTCTAGTATTTTATTTTTGTAATAAAAATTATCTTAAAAAAGAAACAAAAAATACAAAAAGTAGTATACAAACTAAAAAGGAAAAGAAAAGAAATTCTTATATAGCATTTTATATTTATCAATAGCCACTAGTTTACCAATGAATTCACTACTATAATATGAACAGTACAAGCTATCACAATACTGCAAGAGATCACTCTGCAGTTACCATCTTACTTCTCCCTTGTATTTGTAAAAGAGGTAGGTCACACATTTTCTTGACAATAATATAACTTTTGTATTTGTAAAAGAGATAGGTCACACATTTGACAATAATATAACTTTTCCATTTCTTAATATAGTGCTTTTTGCCATCCTCCAAAACAACTCAGTGTTGAGTTCTCTGACCATTTAACTTGCTAATAAAACATTATGTCATCACGTTCTTATGGTGTTTTATAAAATCAGTATTATCTTGGTTCATAAAATCCAATATTGTGCAGCTTCTGTATATTAATCTTATGAAAGTTTTCTTTCTCATTTAAAGGTCCACCTGACAGAATCCCACCACCAACAAGACCCTTGCCGACAGTACCTCCACATCGTTCTGTCCCTCCAGCTGATCCTAGGAAGAATGACAGGGCTAAAGCTCCCCGGCCGCCCACAGGGGATAAGCCCTCCTACCCTGGTGTCAAACCCAATATCTGTGATGGAAATTTCAATACTCTAGCCATCCTCCGCCATGAAATGTTTGTTTTCAAGGTAGGTGGCCATTCTTTTTTTTTTTTTAATTACTAGACCATGAGAATGCATCTTTGCTTTTTCAAAAACTAGCTCTCATTCAGCCTGATTGTGCTTCTTAGCTTTCTTGCTCTTTTCAAGTTCAAGAAAGTCATCTGAATGGCTTACATGTTTAACAGAGAAAAGGCTGGAATGTTCTATTTTGGGGAATGAATTAATGTCAGCAGAAAGTTGCAATGCTTCAAAAATGTAATGGTAAGTAAATACTGAATGTTATGGAGAGATAAAAAAAGGCATAATTCAAGTCATGAATAGAAGCTAATAGGGATGATTTGGTTGGGAATTTAGCCATTTCCACTCTCATTGCTATTATTGTGTTTTCTGTATAAGGACCCTGTAATTTAACTTTATAATTAGATCAGACACTTTATAAAAGATACTTGTCATTGTGTTATGGTTGCCTTGATACATTCTGAGTAAAACCAGTGTTAAAAGAAATGTTTTGCAGGTGTTTGAAAGCTTTTTGTTATTGATATTTTTGAGTTGGTTCAATTTTTGTTTGTTTGAACATGTGTCCATATGGCACTTATCCTGATAACGAGAAAGCCTTTTTATTTTGATTTTAAATAGACTTTAATGTTCAAAGACAACAAACCAAAGAAAATCCATTGACTGGACCACAATAATGATCTGGAACATTTTCTTGAATGGTTTCCAAAATGCAACATGGCCTTAATTTTAAATGAATTTTATGAGATATTTTGGTACAAGCTTTCAAAATTAAACAGAGGATATTAAGTGAAATTATATTATCTTCCAAACACATATTCTTATTTCATATTTTCTTGAACTAGCTGTGTTTTTTTTTAAAAATGTGAATATTTAAATAAATATGCTTCTAGGGTACACAGAATCTTTTAACTTTTCTTAGGAAATGTATTTATAGAAACAACATTTAAGGATTAATAGGATAATTCTTCTATTGGTTGTCTAGTTTTCTACATAATTTATTTGTATGCTATCCTTATACCTACTTTGGACTAAGCTCTGATGCATAGAATGTGATTGATTCAATATGAGGTGTTTCTGTGACTTCATATTTAAATTACATTTCCTATAGAAAAGACAATGTATACAAGGGACTTGCATGTAAATTACATCTAAAATACAGTGAACAGATTGATAAATGGCAGAATTTTATTGACATTCATGGGGACTCTCAGCATGCAAACAAATGATAAGTTGGATCAACTTGTAAGCAACAAATTATACTGACATTTCTTCAATGTAATATATTTCTGTTGGGCTTTGTGATCCTTCCCCATGCCAATACAATCTCAAAAACAGCCCTCATTCCCCAGAGGCCCTACAGAGGCCCCAGGGCAGGCATGTCAAACTGCCGGCTCGTGGGCCGGATGCATCAAGCTGAAATCACACCCCTCCCATTGCCAGCAATGGGGAAAAGTCACAATACATTGTGCAATGTCACGTGACATTGCAAGTTTGACATACCTGCCCTGGGGCAACTACCCACAGTAGCAGGAAGATCTGCCTGAAGACAGAGAGTGCTAAGAATCACCAGGTTAAATCCGGTTGTCTTTGGATTTTGGACATAGGAATAGTCAATATTCAAACAATTTAAAGGATGCTCAGCTAGAAGAACTACTGATTGAACTCAACAGTATGCATTAGGATATCATTGGATTACATTAAATTCAATGAAAAGGTGAAAAATTAGTTGAACTTGAAAGGACTGGGCATTTATTTTAAACTAACGGTATCAAAGATGGACAATATGATGGAGTTGGCTTTCTCATCAACCAAAGACTGAAAGACTCTGTAGTAAAATTTGAAAGTATATCAGACAGAGTAGCCCAATGCATCATTCAATTGAACAAACAATACAAACTTCAAATCATCCAAGCTTATGCACCAACAATAAACTATAGTGATCATGAGGTCGAAAAGTTTTACCATGATGTGGCCTGCCTTCAATACAAAGAAAAATGCTGATACAATATACTAATGGGTGACTTTAATGCAAGAATAGGAAGAACAATATCTGGACAAAAGGCTACTGGCCTGTATGGAAATGGTGAATGAGATAATAGAGGCGACTGACTAGATTTTGCTGAAGGACAGGAACTTTATATCATGATCTCATTTTACAAGAAAAAAATGGACATGGAAGAGTATACAAGGAAAATTGACTATATCATGGCAAATTATAAAACCCTATTCTTCAATTGTAGTGTCATCATTCATTTTAACATTGGAAGTGACCATAGAATGGTACGAGCTAAAGTGAAGATGGACTGTCAAAAAGAGCATATGAAACTGATAAACATTTCACACACACAAAAAAAAAAAATTAGCAGCAGCAGCCAGAACTACAACTATCATCTCTCAACTTTAAAGAGACACCAAGTAATATCATCCCATGAGTGTCCTTTCTGATGATGCTCTGATCTTCTACCTTTAAGCTTTGTGTGTGTTGTCTTATCAGATAATTCAGTCTAAACTACCATCTTAAGTCTGGTGATGCCAGGAAATAAATTAATACAGGGAATTGTGGGAAATTAGAACTGATCAATAGAGGAGAGGACTCATGAGCAACAATAAAATTACCCAGTTGATTCTGCCAATGTAGAACTTCAGACTTTTCAGATAAGAAATATAAATTGATCATGAAAGACTTGCAACTTTAACACAGAAATACCTGAATCTGGTCCAATGAAAATTGTCCAGGAGACCAAGCAACTTGGCATTTAATAAATTGAAATAACTGAACATTGTTTAACGATATTACTTAGTAAAATGTATAACTTTCCCTAATAACAACACAAGCAGCTTCTAGGTAATTGATTCATGGTTACTTCATTTCATTTCACAGAAGAGTGTCTTTTATGTATTCTTCTTCAGATAGAACTACCAGCTTTTGAATAAAGCCTTTGTAATATTATGATTTTATTTTTAATACCCTGTGGCCATCCATCTTTGTGAATGAAATGAAAGGTTAAGAATATCATTTTCTAACATGACATTAAGTAGGATATTAAAATTCTCAGCCATTTGTTATGTCATTGATCTCATAAACAATAGAATATGCTCTAATTTGTTTTACACTGTTAAATTATTTACTACATCACTAAAATAAATTTTATTTCCAACCTAAAATTGTGGTTTTAGTTGGAAAGATCAACCATAATTTTTCAGTTGATACAGACAGTAATCGTTCATCTAATCTTAGAAAAACTCTATGCATATCTACTTAAATAAACCATACTGAATTTTGGTGGAAATTATTTCTAGGGAACTGAGACAAAAATGACAGATTGCATTGTGTGTAGTGAAATATAGGCTTGTTTTCTGATGCTTTATTTATAATGCTATCCCTCTTCAGAAACAAAAGCATTCAAAAATAATATGCAGTAAATAAAATTATTTTTCAAACTTTTTCAGATAGTTTGTCAACTGAATATTAAAATGGTATGTACAGCATTTTGGACTCAGAAGCAAAAAGAGATTTCAGAGCATGCAGAGATGTGAACATACCACTTTCCTACAACTCCTTAAAACAGTCATGTCTTTCACTGCTATCATATGATCTCAGCAGTAAACATGTTTGATTTTAGGTAGTATTTTTCAAACTTGGTAACTTTAAGATGCGTGGACTTTAACTCCCAGATTTTACTAGCCAGCATGTTAGAGGTTGAATTCTGGGATGAAGAGGTAAAGAAAGTAATGCTGCAAACAGATGAAATAATTTAATGTTAATGAATATAGCTGATTTTTACCAGCTTTTTAGTAACTTAGTAACTTCACTGAAATGGAATCTGATATCAAATCTCTGCTGAAAAATGGAAAGTGCTTGACATTGGAGAAGTAGGAGTGTCAACAGCATTTTATTGTAACATCTAACATACATTTTAAAAACTTTTTCTCATAATTTCTGAAAGATTGTTAATATATTAATCCAGTAGGATAGGATTCTGTTGATCAAAGTTGGCCAGGAAACAGACAACACAGGGATTATAGGACTATTGGCTTTTGAAAGAATTTTGTAAGCTGAAGAGTGTCCTGTTCTCACCTGTTATATCAAACAGAATTTATTTATTTATTTATGAGACTTATATACCGCTTTAAGTGCAAGAACTCTCTAAGCGGTTACACCAGTAAGCAATGTATATATATATTTACATTGCCCCCAACAATCTGGGTCCTCATTTTACCTACCTCGGAAGGATGGAAGGCTGAGTCAACCTTGAGCCGGTGAGATTTGAACCGCTGACCTGCTGAACACAGTCAGCTAAAATAGATTAAGTTGTTATTTATTTTAGCTTACCTGCTCTTTTATTCCTTTATCAGTTATCTCCTTGCTCTAGATCAGTGTTTCTTTGAAAGATCATATGTACATCAGTGTTCTGGCTGGACTATTTTCGGTGTGAAAGTCCACATCTCTTAAAGTTGTTAAGGTTGAGATAGATTGTAGGTGACTTCTGTTATATGATCTTTCAGTAGTAGCCTGAAACATATCTGCAAATACAAGGAGGAATCTAATAGTGAAGGTTAGAAAGTAGAAAAGGAGATCAAAGCTATACTAGAAAGCATATATTTCATGTAAAACAAGAAGTAAACAATGCAGGAATAAGCATTAGTATAGCACAATAATTGAAATATGATAGCTTGTATGTAGAATAGTACAAATTTCTTAGCCCAAAATGTAGGAGATACAATGAAGGCTGTATTTATTGTATATGAAATGAAGAAGTGTTTCTTTATTTATTTCCTCAGTTTGGGGCATTCTCCAGTTTTTATGTTATTTAGGAGAATCTGTTTTCCTTGTATTGCTAGTAGGAAACCAGGAAAGTCCATGCTTGATCTTGTCCCTTCCTCCACGTATTGGAATCTGGTTTATATAGGCTCCTTATGCAGTTTAGAGCATAAAGCATAAAGAGTATTGTCAAAGAGTAGAAAATAAACAAACCAAATTTGTGTGTGTGTGTGTGTGTGTGTGTGTG